ACTTTAATACAAATCAAACAAACATGCACAAACACACTCGCTCAAATGGACATGCACAAACGTGTAGAAAAACATGGGCAAAAGTGCATTCGCAACAACGTTCTTAAAAGAACGGAGTACAACACTAGGACTTTAATGCGCATAACCAAACAACAGCAAACACACAAGATACAAAAGATACAGCCGAGTGTAGAAATAACACTCAACGTTTACGTTTACGTGGATTTTTTGATGGACTAATTTATATTTCTGTTTTAATTGGTGGATTTAGTATTCCGTAGGTACAAATTGATAATTAGGTGTCCATGAAGCAAAAATGATCAAAGAGTAAGAAAAGAGTTGCAATTAGGAAAATAAAATCAAAATAGAAGAGAGGATCCCTCAACATCTTCGGTAGTGTCCACGAAGTCGAGCATAACTTTCTCATCCGGACTCCAAATCGACTGGTTCCGGCGGCATTAGAAGGCTATTTCAGGTGGCTACAATTCCTGTCTAATGTAAAATTTCCAAATTCGGACTCGAACATGGTCAAAATTTGATTCCAACAGCGATCATGAAAATACCCGCTACAGTTCGAGGACACGAATGCGCATCAAGAAACGTGCACAAAAACACTCGCTACAAAGGATACGCACATAAGTAAAAGTACGAAATCATGCACAAAACTACTCACGCAAAACAACATTCGCAAAAATGATCATGAAAACACAAACTACAATCCTAGGACATTAATACAAATCAACAAACATGCACAAACACACTCGCTCAAATGGACATGCACAAGCATACATGTAAAAAAACATGCGCAAAAGTGCATTCGCAACAACGTTCTTAAAAGCACGGAGTACAACACTAGGACTTTAATGCGCATAACCAAACAACAACAAAAACACAAGATACAAAAGATACAGTGGAGTGAGAAATAACACTCAACGTTTACGTTTACGTGGATTTTTTGATGGACTAATTTATATTTCTGTTTTAATTGGTGGATTTAGTATTCTATAGGTACAAATTGATAATTAGGTGTCCATGAAGCAAAAATGATTAAAGAGTAAGAGAAGAGTTGCAATTAGGAAAATAAAATTAAAATAGAAGAGAGGATCCCTCAACATCTTCGGTAGTGTCCACAAAGTCGAGCATAACTTTCTCATCCGGACTTTAAATCGAGTGGTTCCGGCGGCATTAGAAAGCTATTTCAGGTGGCTACAATTCCTGTCGAATGTCAAATTTCCAAATTCGGACTCGAACATGGTCAAAATTGGATTCCAACAACGATCATGAAAATACCCGCTACAGTTCGAGGACACGAATGCGCATCAAGAAACGTGCACAAAAACACTCGTTAAAAAGGATATGCACATAAGTAAAAGTATAAAATCATGCACAAAACTACTCACGCAAAACAGCATTCGCAAAAAGTATCATGAAAACACAAACTAGAATCCTAGGACATTAATACAAATCAACTAACATTCACAAACACACTCGCTCAAATGGACATGCACAATCATACATGTAAAAAAACATGCGCAAAAGTGCATTCGCAACAACGTTCTTAAAAGCACGGAGTACAACACTAGGACTTTAATGCGCATAACCAAACAACAACAAAAACACAAGATACAAAAGATACAGTGGAGTGAGAAATAACACTCAACGTTTACGTTTACGTGGATTTTTTGATGGACTAATTTATATTTTTGTTTTAATTGGTGGATTTAGTATTCTATAGATACAAATTGATAATTAGGTGTCCATGAAGCGAAAATGATTAAAGAGTAAGAGAAGAGTTGCAATTAGGAAAATAAAATTAAAATAGAAGAGAGGATCCCTCAACATCTTCGGTAGGGTCCACAAAGTCGAGCATAACTTTCTCATCCGGACTCCAAATCGACTGGCTCCGGCGGCATTCGAAAGCTATTTCAGGTGGCTACAATTCCTGTCTAATGTCAAATTTCCAAATTCGGACTCGAACATGGTCAAAAT